TTGGCTCTCCTGTTCTGTTCCGCACTGTAGCTAACGGAGAGGCGGTCGCTTCAGATGGATTTCGTGCCTCTGTCCTGGGCGATTCACCGCATCGGCGGCACATGTCTCCTGATGCACCCGACCTCGTCAGCCAGCGAAATCCAGACCCTGATGCGCAAAGCTGACTGCCACACCCTGTTCACCTGCCGACCCTTGCAACCGCTCTGCGAGGCCGTGTTTGCCGCGTTGCACGAAGATCCTGCCCGGTTGTTTCTGCTCGAATTGCCCGACGACGATGCCAGCACGCCGGCGACTCGGGCCACCGTCTCCGAGTTGATCGCCGAGGGAGAGCATCTGCCCGCCGTGGCGAGCATCCTTCTCCAGCCAGGGAAGTCCCGCGACCGGGTCGCATATCTCTGCCCGACCAGCGGCACCTCCGGGTACCAGGTGAGAGAACCGATGTTCTGCACGAGCCTCAAGTGAGAAATCGAAGGCTCTGACTGACATTGTGCGCAGAAACTGGCGCAAATCACCCACGCCAACGTCATCGTCAATGCCCTCCAGGCGGTTACTCTGGACTCATATGCGACCGGACCCAAGAGCCAGACCACTCTGGGCATCCTCCCGTTGAGTCACGCCTATGGCCTGATCGTACTGCATACGTTGATGTGTCGGCGGGATACGACGATCCTGCACTCCCGCTTCGACATGCCGGCGGCGCTACGGTCGATTCAGCAGTACCGCATTGAGCGGTTGTATCTGGTGAGAGTCTCCAATGTGACAATGATGTGCGCGCGCGTGTGCATACTGACCAGGGCTCGTCTGCTAGGTTCCCGCGATTGTGGCGGCATTGGTGAATAATCCTATCTTATTCAAGCTGGCCGATCTGTCGTCCGTGCAGACGGTGGTCTGTGGATCTGCACCCTTGAGTGCGGACATGATGGGCGCCATGAAACGGGTGCGTCCCGACTGGGATCTCCTTCCTGGTTATGGTAGGTCAAACGCAACCGATTGAACTGTTGTGACAAATATCTGACAAGGCGTGATAACGATAGGATTGACCGAAGCGGCGGTGATTGTCTCGTACACCAGCCAACATAGCATCTTCCCTGGTTCGGTGGGGAGCTTGTTGCCCCAGGTGGAGGTGCGACTGCTCGATGCGAACGGGGTGGAGATTCACGATTACGACGTCGCCGGCGACCTCTACGTGCGATCGCCCAGCGTCATGAAGGGCTACCTTGGGGAGAACGAGGCGGATTCCTATGCCTTCGACCAGGACGGCTGGCTGGTCACGGGCGATGTGGCGTGCATGCGGCGCGGCGCAGACGGCGAGGAGCATCTTTTCATCGTCGATCGCAAGAAGGATATCATGAAGGTCAAGGTTCGTGTCGTTTATTTTCCTTGCCGTCACATGCAGCGTCGCTAACGTAGGCACGCATCCTAGGGCATCCAAGTGGCGCCGGTCGAGATTGAAGCGCAGCTCTTGAACCACCCAGCTGTGGACGAGGCCGCGGTGATTGGAGTCCAAGATGACGCGACGGGCGAGCGTCCATTTGCCTTTGTGGTGCGCTCGCGCCAGGTCGACGCCCAGATGGACGAGGCGACCCTCCGCCAGGCGCTGGCGGCGCACATTCAGAATACTCTGAGTGAGCCGTTCTGGCTCCGCGAGAACATTCGGTTCTTGGAGGCGATCCCAAAAAGCCACAGCGGGAAGGCGCTGAAGTTCAAGCTGAAGGATTTGGTGTGAGGGGTGGACGGAGTCCAAGCTTGTCAGCCACCTTTTGATTAGATACCCACCAGGAAATGAGAGTCCGTTCAGACGAATCTGTACTCTGTGGTATTAGTAAACTCAACACTGCGAGTAGGGAAGACCACCGGGTTTGCTGATGCGAGCAGGGAGGAGTTTCATTGTCCACCGTGTCTGATGAAAGAATGACCTCGGAGTGGGTAGATGTGTAAGTATGATCCTAGACTCGAAGCTGAGCGCGTCAATATTGTTGTACAAACATCAACGTGACCGGAATGCAACCGTCTCATTATCCTAACCATTGCTGCATATTACTGTATGTGTGAACTACTTCCAGACGTTGGGACGGAGAATGGACCATTTGCCTAGTCCACGGTGCGCCCGCATGCGAACAGCCACCTTCATTGCTTATCCAGCCACCGCGGATGACAGGGTATTATTGCTGTCTGTAACTGAAAATAGCTCTCCTAAAGTCAAGGCTAAATTGGACACGAGAGTCAGATCATAATGCGAACGATGGCATCGAAAAAGGTGGATGAATACATGAATATCTCTCCCCTACGGATCCCGTGACGTGTATAGCCCTACAGCGAGAAAGGAAATGGTACGTCCCACTAGGTGAACCAGTGAGCCAGACTGTCTTGAACCCCATTGAACATCAACTCCCCCCATAATCACGCCGTGTTCATCTCCTCCTCAGTCCGCCGACGAATCATCAACTGCTCCTGCGGTCCTCGCAGCGTCAACTCGGTGAACAGGCCCGCCGTGGTAGGCGGGGGCGGGATGACCTTGATCTCATACTTGGTGAAGATATGAGCGAACAGCAGCTTCAGCTCATCGGTGACGAAGAAGCGGCCAGGGCATGCGCGCTTCCCCATGCCGAAGGAGAGAAAGCGCTCCGAGGCGCGGGACATGGGTACGCGCGGCGCCGCGGCGTGCTCGACCTCGTAACGAGACGGATTGTAGGTGGTGGCCTCGGGCCACAGGCTGTCGTCGCGGTGGATGGCGTAGGCCGCGACGCTGATGCGCGCCCCGTGCGGCAGACGCAGGCCCCCGGTCTCCTTGTCGGCGGCCAGCGTCGCCCCCGTGGGGCTCGTGACCTGGCGGATGAGCCCCGGAAAGACGACCGCCAGCCGCAGGCTCTCCTTGAGCGCGTTCTCGATGCACCCCAGCTTGTCGATGTCCTTCTTCTCCGGCCGCTGCTGGCACTCGCGCAGCACCGTCCGCGCCTCCGCCGTCACCAGAGCCCGGTACCCCTGCGCCTCGCCCAGTGTCGTCAGGTCCGCCAGGCACTTGCTCATCGTGTTGGTCGTCGTCTCGATCGACGCCAGGTTCGCCATGCCCACGCGCGCGATCGTCCGCTGCTCTAATCCGGTCATGGGCTCGCCGCGTCGGACGGCGCGCTGCACAATCCACGTCAGGAACTCGTTCGGGAGCTCGTCCGCCGCCGATGCGTGCTCGGGCTGCTCTTCTATCCGCTTCACGTCGTGAATCCGCTGTCGCACCACGGACTGCAGGTGGCGGTTGAAGCCGGCCATGTAGAAACGATTAATCCATTTGACAATCGAGGAGACAGGGCCCTTCAGCGGCCGGGGCAGCAAGTCCTGGAACACGGTCTCGGGCATGACCGCCAGCCCTAACCCGACGGCGTCACGGATGTACTGCTCGTTGCGACCTGCGAGCCTCCCCATCTTCCCCGTTAGTGCGCGACTCTTAATTGCCATGGCAACTCAAAGGAAAGGGATCCGTACAAAGTTCCTTCCCAACGAACAACCTATTGGTAATCCGCGCAATGATGGTGCGCGTACTATCCTTGAGAGGGATCAAGCGCCACTCGGGCGAATCACCCCAGACGGCATGCAGCGCGTCCACTATCTCGTCGTTGATGTCGGCCGTCAGCCGCCCCAGGTTGTGCGTTAGTTCCTTGCGCAGCACCTCCTGCACCGAGTGGTCGCCGACCAGCCCGTCCTGCACGAAGGCGTGGAATTCGTCGTGGATCGGATCCATGCTCAGCACCGATTCCGGCTGGTCGATGATCCACCGGATGTATTTGGGTGGAAGGATGATCTGGGGTCGACCGAAGGCGATGGCGAGGGCGGCAGCGCGGCCTTTTTTGTTGCACTGGCGAGGAACGGGGATCAATCACTTGTCACTTGTGCGTGTGTGCAGGGTAGAGGGGGCCAAAGGAGAAACGTACCTCCAGATAGGCTTGCATGATGTTCTGCTTCATCAGGAAAAAGGATCGTGCCTTTGCACGCAGGTAGCCGAAGCTCTCTGGGGGTCGGTCGATCCATTGCACCTCCTTGGGAACGATGTACTCCCACGTAGTCAGCCTGTTGGCAAGGACAAGGAGTAGCAAGATGACGATCACCGCCAGACTGCCTTGTAAAAGGAGTGGGAGGTTCGAAAGACCTTTAATCATGACGAGAGCCCGAGGAACACACAACAAGAAAATATATTCGGGGGTGAAAAAAGGCGGAATCGAGGCAAAGAGAGACTGCTTATGGATGCCAGCCTTCATATATATCAGCTGCCAGAGCCGCAGCGCTAAAGGTCATCGGGCCAGTAGAGAGCCGTCGCGACTATTGAGGTCAGCCCACTCGCCGAGAGATCATTAAACAGCAGGCCATCGAGTGTCAGCCTGGCCGGAGTCGAGCCCACAGCAGCAGGCTATACGAGTGGGTCCGAGGCGGTTTTATGAATCGTGTGTAAGTGTATGGGGTGCCCGCTATGCAGCCTACAGGGCGGATCTATAATGATACAATGCTCTGTACTTCCTAGGTGGCTGAGACAGACAGACAAATGCGGTAATCATAATCAGTTCGAACATCTGGATCCACGACGGGGCCAATATACTATGAGAATACAAAAGTACGAGACTATCATGAATACTCCAGCCAAACTGGAACATCAAACCACCAGACCCATCGACGTCCCCCTCACGCCGCGGCCACCGGAGCCTCGCGCTGCGGCGCCTGGCGAATGGAGATCATGTCGTGCTCGCCCTCAGGCCGGACATGGCTGAGCGGGCGCGCAAAGGCATCGAACTTGCGACAATGATAGTTCTCGTAGCTCCAGACAGTCCCATCGTCGGCGGTGATCCGGGCCTGCTCGTTCGGACGCACAAAGTACGCCAGGGTGTATTTGGTCGCCCGGGCGTCGGTGTCGCTGGGCACGACGCGGTGCAGGGAGGGGATGATGCGCCCCCGCGAGAGGAACTTCAGGCAGTCGCCGAACTGGACGAAGAGCTGCGCCGGATTTGGCTCCACAAACTCCCAGTCCTGCCGCGCGACGTCGATGACCTGCAGCCCCCGCGCGGTGGCCGACAGCAGCGTCAGGCTGCCCACGTCCGTGTGCGCGATGTGTCCAAAGTTGCGCGACCCGGGCGGCTGCGGCGGATACTTCAGGAAGCCCAGGTTCGTGACCGAGGGCTCCGAGGGGTGATGGGCCGCCAGCAGCGCGTCGCCAAGATCCAGGACTTCGCTGACGCGCTGCAGAATGAGCTGCGCTGCTTGCTCGTAGTGCTCCATGCAGCGCGTGAGAGCCTCCCGGTGGGCGAAAACTAGGTCGGGGGACTGGAGTGCGGAACGGAAACTGGGCAGGAGAAACTCATTTTGGGGCAACTGAAATATAGACAATGGGTTAGCCTCGTTTGAGGTAGAAAGAGAAAGGGGAGGAGGGTAGGGTAGGGTAAGACAGGACACAGCGCCCAGGCAGAATACCATAAACATCTCGAATCCGTCGGGCTCTCCGGCCTTCGCGCCCTCTTCAATGCCCAAGGGCTTATATCTGTATGGCCACACGGACTGCCGGTCAGTGGACAGCCATCTAAGTCCGGTTGGACTTGGGGTCCAGGGATGTTGATATCATTTTTCTTACCCCGTGGTTCGAAACCGTCCCAGTGTCTTGAAATCAAAGCGCTTCTTGACGGGAGTGGGGATGTCGAAGACGTTCTCAGAGAATTTTTCAAGAAAGCAAATGTCCTCACGCAGCCTCACGCCCTCTGGACAGTCGAGATCCAGACTAAAGAAGCCATCCACGAGAGCTGCTTGCGTGAGCGACTGGAGGTCTTGCTCGGCACCCGTGATCAGTCCGTGGTAGGAGATTCGAGGCATGATGAAGCTTCACATATATGGCAGGGATTTAATGGAGAGTGGAGGGAATGTGTCAGGCGGACGTATTCCATGCCAGGGCGCCGGCGGTGCAGAGGGTCAGCGGCCTCCTTTTATGTTTCCCCTTCGTGTTCAGCCGAAATCAGAGCAGGCTAGGTGGCCTGATCCACTATCGTCTGAGCCAAGAGTCGACGCATGATATGATTTAAATAATGCAGAGCGTGTGAGGGCTACAGAGCCATTGCGTGGGAAACGCATATAAAGTTAGGGCAAAGGAGAACAGATACAGAGAACTCAACTCATTACAGCGAAGAAATTAGATGAATATAACTAATGAAGAGTACCATATATACATAGAACCTAGACACATAAGACATCAACCGACATAGATATTAAACAGCCAGTGATGTCTGGCCTCTTTGCTGCGAACCCGCTGTGAACCATCGAGCATAGCTCTTCCGGGCACTTGTCCACATCGTTCTGAGAGACAGCCGCTTTGCTTTCACTGACGGCAGGTCCTCCTCGAGAGACGCTTCGTCCTCACGGCGTGATCCCACTAAGACTGCCTGGGCGGAGTCGAACTGGTCGCTCAGACCCAGAAGAGAGGCTAAGTAGACCGCGTCCAAGAGATCGCCGCCCCTCTGTGCAAAGGAGGCTGCCGGCCTGGTCTTTCCCGTTGCGACCCCCCGACGACGCTGCAGGACTACTTCCCACTCAGGCCGTTGTTTGATCTGCAGATACGACGCCATGGCCAGGGGATCCTCGCCCGAGATCCGCTCCGTGATCTGCACCACCGGCGTCGATGACCTCTTCCCCTTCCCCCCGGACCGGGCCACGGGGGCCGATAACATCTCCTTGATAGTGCGAGATGGCTCGTCCACGAGAGTCGTGAGCGTCTCAGCGAGCATGAGCACATACTCCGATGCCATCTCCGGCGTGATGCTGTCAGGCCGGTAGGCTATACGTAGGTCCAGCGCGCCGTCCTCCCGGCTGACGGCCGTGACTCCTACGTCGACTGTCCATGTCGCGTCCAGCGCATCGAAGCTGGAAATAGCGTACTCCTGGCCGGTCATACGAACGGTCCCGTTCGTCTGCTCGGTGATGTGGTTCAGTGCGGATGTAAACCTCGTCGAGGTCGCCCAGTCGGTGCAGTCATGGAGGATGTCTCGGAAGCCCAGGTGTCCGTGCTCGAAGCTCTGAATCTGCTGCTCGCGCACAGCTTGCAGTATCTCGCGGGCTGTGAGAGCAGGAGAGGACAGCTGCATGCGGACGGGGAGCAGCGTGACGCAGCAGCCCGTTGCATTCATCATGGTGGCGTCGACGGTGCCCCGTGTGGAGACGGTGTCGGCGAACACCACGTCCTGGCTCTGGGCTACACGGGCCAAAGTGATCGCCCATGCTGCCTTCACTAGAACTGGGCTGGTGACGCCCGCAGACAGCGGGCTGGCGAGGGTCACCGTCCGTGGGGCGAGGTGGGCCACGGTAGACGGATACTGTCCGATGGCGGAGGTGGAGCGGCCCAGTTGGGGCATAGACGAGCCCGCCAACAGGTCGGTCCAGTAGTCGTACGTTTGTGCGGTGATGCGTTGCTGCTGGTGGTAGTAGAAGCTCGCGAAGGATGGGGATCGAGGCGGGATTGTGCCCTCGAACAGGCAGCGCAGGGTCTCCCAGATGACATTGATGGACACGGCATCGTACTCAGCGTGCGTCACGCGCAGGAGGAGTCGGTGTCGTGTGCTGTGCGCCTCCTCGACAATGGCCATCTGCGTGAAGGGTTCGCCCAAGCAGGGGGCTGGGAGCAGCTGGTGGTTGATGATCTCGGCCGTCTTCGCTTCGACCGTACGCTCCGTGTGGAAGATGGGGATGTCCGGCTCGTAGGCACTCTTGACCACCTGCAGCAGGCGGCTTTGATCGAAGATGTAGGCCGTGCGGAGGATAGGCAGGGCGCGGATGAGGTCGAAGCAGCTTTTGCGCAGCCGCTCCACGTCACAGGGGCCCTGGCCGTCGAGCAGGAAATGCGCACAGTTGGCCGCGGCGGGGGTCGTGAGCACGCCTGCCACCGTGAGGGCTTGAAAATCGGTGGTGGGCAGGATATCAACGACCTCGTCCGCACATCCGATGTTGCAAACGGGGGAGACCACTTCGTGGATAAATGCTTCGGGGTTATCGGTGTCGATTAAAGAAAACGGGACCACGCCTTCCTCTTCCTCCTCCTCCTCCTCCACCCCATCTTCTTTCTTCTCTTCTTCTAAACGTGCCTCTACACGCGCGCTCACGACCTCAGCCAGCTCAGACAGACAAGGGTGTTTGAAGATGTCCGCCACGCTTAGCTTGAACGAGCGAGAGCGTGATGCGGCCACCATGCGCATGGCGGCCAGAGAGTCTCCGCCAAGGTGAAAGAAGTTGTCATGGGCCCCGATTTCGTCGACCGGGAGATGGAGCCCATCAGCCCACAGGGCCTGAAGTCGGCGCTCCATCTCGGTGGAGGGCGCGACCTTGGGACCGTCGCCCACGCGATACTGCCGGAGATTGTCGTTGTCGTTGTCGTCGTTGTCTTGCAAGCGTGCCAGCATCGTGCGGAGGAGCTTGCGGTCCAGTTTGCCGGAGAGGTTGCGGCTCATCTCCGCAATGGGCACGAACACGGCCGGAACCATGTACACAGGCAGTGTTTGTAATAGGACGCCATACAGCTTGCTGAAGGCCATTCTTAGGACCGGGGATGGCGCCAGCAGTCCTGCCGGGGTGACTGCGCCACGGCGATATTCACTGTCTAGAGCAAACTCCATTGCGGCCACCAGGAAGGTCCGCTGCGTGTCCTCGTCGGTGAGCGGCTCCACGGCCACGGTACCCACACCGGGCAGATGGTGCAGGATCTGATGTTCAATCTCGCCGAGCTCGACACGCTGGCCCCGGATTTTGATCTGAGAGTCCATTCGCCCGAGGTGGATCAAAGTTCCATCCTCGTTTTGTTGCACAAGATCCCCCGTACGGTAGAGCCGGCGTCCGTGGAGGCCCAGACGCCGCGTGAACTCGGGATCGACGATAAATGAGGCCTGAGTGCGGACGGGGTCACCGAGGTATCCCCGTGCCAAGAAGGGCCCTTCAATCCAGAGCTCGCCGGGTGCGCCGAGAGGACTCAGCAGATGGGTTTGCGTGGGCTGCGTGACCCACAACCGGGTCGCCAAGGGGAACCCGATGTTGCTGACTTCATGGGCATTGGTATAGGGCCGAGTACAGGTACTCATGGACCCTTCGGTGGGCCCATAAGCGTTGTAGATATCGGCGTGGCCCAGCCAGATGCTGACAACGTCGGCCCGAACAGGCTCGCCTGTCAGAATCAGGGTCTTTAGGGCTGGCACGCGACTGGGCGCCACTTGCCGTGCAACAGTGGAGGTCAGCATCGCTGTGTTGACTTTCATGTCGGCCATCACCTCGGTGAGCTGGTTCATGCGGGCTTCCTCGGAGGGGATGCAGACGACGCCACCAAAGGCCGTCGTCGCAAAGGTGTCGGTGATAACATTGTCGAAAGTGTAAGAAGCAAACTGCAGGAACCGCGTCGCAGGCATGAGGCCCAGCCAGCGTCCCTGTTCGTCTAGACTCGTCGACATGGTTCCGTGCTCGATGACTACGCCCTTGGGCACGCCTGTACTGCCCGAGGTAAAGATAGCCCACGAGGCGTTGGACGGCGTCACTCCCGTCCCCGGCGCTTGTTGGCACCGTGGCCAAGTATCGAAATGATCCTGGTCGAGGGTGACGAGCTGGATGTTAGCGAGGTTGGTCAGCCCCTGCAGTCGCTTGGCCTGTGCAGAGCTGACGATGATGAGGCGTGCCCGCGAGGCGTCGAGGATAGTGTCAATGCGGGCCAAGGGGTGTGATATGCCCAAGGGCATGATGGCTCCCCCGGCTTGCATGATCCCCAGCATCGCCACAGCGCCCCATTTCGATTTCTCCATACAAACTCCCACAATGCCTTCTGGCCCGACCCCGAAGGAGACGAGCTGGTGGGCCACGCGCGCACCCGCCTCGTAGAATTCGCGGTAGGTCATATCTCCATCCCAGGCATGGATAGCGATGGCTGTGGGTGACCGTTCCACCTGTTCGCGTACCATCTCGGGGATACATTTTTCCAGCCGGGGCGGAACGTCCGCGTTCCAGTGCAGAATCCGCTGCTGATCCGCGTCATTGATGGCCAGAATCTCTGCTAGGGACTGTGATTGCGTGCTCGGATCGCATAGTCGGTGGAACAGGCAGGCGAAGTAGTCGATCACTCGTTTGACCTGGGTCGAAGCAATGATCTGCTTATCGTAGTGCACATCTACGGTGAGCTCCTGTGCCCCAAGCTGGCACTCGAGGGTCAGCGCATGTGCATTGAAGGGCTCGATTGGCAGGGGGACGGTCTCCAGGCCGGGGAAGTCTAATTGTCCTTGCGAATCCTTCTCTTCAGCCAGCTGGATGACCAGCAAGCTGCCCGTGTCCAGCGTGCTAGCCAATGTGGGCACCAATGCCTTGATCCCCTGTAGACCGGTATGCTCGTGGTCAATCATATGTGTTGCTTGCCGCTGCATTGCATCAAGATAATCGGCCACAGTCCTTGTGTGGTCGACTCGTGTACGAATTGGCACAGTCGTAATGGTTGGGCCCGCGATATCTGAAATGCCTCGAACCGGGGCATTGCGGCCGGAAACTGTGGCTGCGAAGGCGATGTCTCCATGTCCCGAGTACTGGGCCACGACCAGCCCCCATGCAGCGCGGAGGACGGTCGAGATTGTCACCTGGCCATGTCTCTGCGTCGGCGGAAGTGGGATTGTTGCATGAAAGTCGTTCTGTGGCAAGGCTTGCTTGTCTGAGACTCGTCGTGGCCAGCTGGCCATCACGTCGCCCTCCAACTGCTCGCGCCAGTAGTGCGTGCTCGCCACGGTGTCCGGGCGACCGTGTTGAAGATACCGGATGAATTGAGTGTAGGGCACCGAGGATGCAGACCGGCCCTGGCGGTAGATGTTCAGAAGGCGTTTGCTGAGTGCACCGACTGTCCAACCATCATACAAGGCATGGTGC